CTTGAATTTTCAAGAAAGAAAGTCTCAGGATGGGTCAACCTGTATTTCTGGATGCAAATCAATGAAATAACAAGTTTTGTCCCATATGGTTCTTAAGGTCAAATCCTGACCTTAGGCTTAGTTCACTACAGGTCCGTGGGCCACCGGTTGAGAATCCCAGTTGTAGCGGGTCTTGTGGCTCCTGACACGTTTAATTTAGTGAACAAAGGGGCAGAAATGGCTTTTTTGATCCTAAAGGTTGCAGACCCCTGGTCTGGATGGACCCCCAGGTACTTGTAGCAGCCCACAGTGTCCACCTTACCCATGACTGCATTTGCAATTAAGCAAAGCAAAGAAAAAAAATAAAATTTTAATTTAAATCTTTTTTTGACCTCTTACATTTTTAACTCATTCTTTAAAAAAAACTGCCACTTAGCCAAAACTTGGCCTTGAAAAGTGGCGGGTGATATGCATTCCTCCAAGTCTCTGGCTTCAGTTTGTACTATTTGACTCAAACTTCAAATCAGATTTCACACTTTACTGCCGTCTGACATTACATCGCCTCTGCCTTTAATGCAAAATATAAACATTTGTTGTATTTTTACTGTTGGAAAAAGGAAAAACGTTCATTTCTTCCTTTGCAGCTTCGGGCCTCGGTGATCCTTCATGACCACGGCTCACATTCTGACACACTCCAGTGACACCCGGTGCACTTGTTACCCCAGATCACTATCAGATCTACTTGCCTGTGCGTCAGTCTTATCAGGGCAGTGGTGGTGTGTGTGTGTGTGTGTGGGGGCTTAGGGGAGACCTCCCTCTCTCTTTTCCCCACGACTCGTCTGAAGTCACCCAGAAGGCCGGATCACAGTAAAACCAGCATGTGGTTTGAGTTAGCGTCTCTGACATGAGCGCTCCACACGTGACTGTGAGCTTGTTGACTTCACTTTTGAAATGTAAGTGGACCCGTGTAGTGCTAATTGTGTTCGTGCATGTGCTGGTACCGGTTCTTGCGTGTCTGAGGGATGTTGTATGTCCTGTCTCTACGTCTGTTTCCATCCCAGTAAAATGTCAGACGACTCTGGAGAATCAACAAAAGGGGAAAAGGCCCAATTTAAAACCCGCCAAACTGATTTTCTTTTTTGTTTTTTGTTCACATTAAACATGTATCACTTTTATATTCAGCAAGTTGGAGCGTTTGTCAGAGTTTATCTGTGCAGCATCTCAGGAAGCAGAAAAGAAGCAGTTCGTTCCAGCTGTTTTCTCCTTCCTGCATCACACCAGATGTTTCAGCACAATTTATTCACCGACAGACGTTCCTCAGACCTACTTCTTAAATCCTGACCACTGTGATGTGCAGCTCTGAACTTAGAAAACTGCTTGAATAAAAGACTATATTGTTAAATTTCAATATTGTTAAATTTCAATAAGACTTGAAGAAAACTAAATCGAACTTGTCAGTCAGGTTAAAAGATCAGTGAAAATGAGTTTGTCTAGATTAAAACAAATATGACGTAAAAACCATTAAATTAAACTTTGGTGAATTTGATAAATGTTTTAAACTTCTTTGAAACATTTCTCCTTCGTATCTGACATCTTTGTAAATGTTTTCTTGTTTATCAGAGGAGATGCGTCACGGTGACAAACATGCCCGTCACAACTTTTATAATGTGTTGCTGCCGTGAAGTTCAAATTTAACTTCCTTTTAAAAAAGATACAGTTTCTTAATTTCACATTTTAATATTCTATTATGAATAAAATATGGGTTGTAAGGTTAGTAAATCTTTGTATTCTGTTTTTATTGAAAATTTACACAATGTTTCTACTTTTTCAAAATTTGATTTGTTTATAGGATCAATGGCAAATCCAAGTTTTATAAGGCAAACAGACGTATGCCAAGTAGAACTCATAATAACCGAAATATAAATCTTTGATCATTGGTCAAACCTCAGATCCAGGAGGAACATTGTGGGTTCCATCCTGGATGTGGAACACTGGACCAGCTCTTTACCTTCACCAGTGTCCTCGAGGGGTCATGGGAGTTTGCCCATCCAGTCTACATGTGTTTTGTGGACTTGGGGAAGGCATTTGACCCTGTTCTTCGGGGTACTCTGTGGGGGGTGCTCCGTGAGTATGGGATTGCTCTGAACAAGCGGTGCGAGAACTTGGTTCGCATTGCTGGTAGTTAGTCGGACCCCTTCAGCGTGGGAGTTGAACTCCGCCAGGGTTGCCCGTTGTCACGATTCCGTTCATCACTTTTATGGACAGAATTTCTCGGTGCAGCCAAGGGGCGGAGGGTTTCCAGTTCGGTGGCCTCAAGAGCTCATCTCTGCTCTTTGCAGATGATGTGGTCCTGTTGGCGTCATCATGCTGTGATCTCCAGCTCTCACTGGAACGGTTCACAGCCGAGTGTGAAGCAGCTGGGATGAGAATCAGCACCTCCAAATCCAAGTCCACGGTCCTCCGTCAGAAAAGGGTGGCTTGTTCTCTTCAGGTTGAGGGTGAGGTTCTGCCTCAAGTGGAGGAGTTCAAGTATCTCTTCTAGTACTAGTTCTAGTATCTTTTGCTCACAAGCGAGAGAAGAATGGAGCGTGAAATTGACAGACAGATTGGTGCAGTATTGCAGACCCTGTGCCGGTCCGTTGTGGTGAAGAGGGTAAGGCAAAGCTCTCGGTGTACCAGTTGGTCTACGTTCCTACCCTCACCTATGGTCATGGTGAGCTTTGAGTAGTGACTGAAAGAATGAGATTGTGGATACAGGTGGTTGAAATGAGTTTCCTCCACAGGGTAGCTGGACTCTCCCTTAAAGACAGGGTGAGAAGTTTAGTTATCTGGGAAAGACTCGGAGTAGAACTGCTGCTCCTCCACATCCAGAGGAGCCAGTTAAGGTGGTTCAGGCATCTGGTAAGGATGCTCCCTGGGCGCCACCCTAGGGAGGTGTTTCAGGTATATCCGACTGGGAGGAGACACCGGGGAAGACCCAGGACACGCTGGAGAGACTATGTCTCTCAGTTGGCCTGAGAACACCTTGGAGTCCTCCCAGAAGAGCTGGAAGAGGTGGCTGTGGAAAGAGATGTCTGGACCTCCCTGCTCAAGCTGCTGCCCCCAAGACCTGACCTCAGAACAAGTGGAAGATGATGGATGGATGGATGGATGGATGGATGGATGGAAATTTAAAAAAATGTAAGCCGAAAATTGAGTCATTAGCTGCTTTGAACAAAACAAGCCCAAAACGATTTTGTGTTCATTTCATTGTTTTTGAAAACCGCTGCGTTGGGACAGACCAAAACAAATGGTTGAGATAAAATTTGACTTTCTGGATTCAGATTTAATATTCGTTTGTGGCTTGAAAACAGTAAACGGTGAACATTGATTTGAGGAGTTCACTAAAAGCAAAAAAACAATTGCATTTTAAAAAAGGGGAGAATTCCCTTCTCCAGTTCCTTTTGGGGAAACGTCCAACATCTTTTTACACGTGAGTAGAAGCTAAACAGCAGAACCAACTCAATTTAGCCTCATAATTTTGGTCCCACATCTAAAAACATTTGTGATAAAAAGTGATAATCAGTGAAAAATAAACCGACCGACTCCCAAAGACATCTGCATTTAAAAAGACAACACCCGCCTCTGATCTGAGGTCTGATTCAGATAAAAACAAAGTACTTGTGAGGTTTTCCTGCGATGGGATCCGCGTAACACCAGAGAATGTGGTCAGGGCGTCGTGGCCTGAACTTTGCCTTGTTGGTGTCCCCGTGGGACCAGTCTATTTGTTGGTGCAGCAGTATATTTATCAACTCCCTGTGCGTCTCAGTGGCACTGATATCCCGAGGATGTGGAGTCGGAGGCATGAATAGATGGCCGTATGGACAGATTGTTTATTTGTGAGCAGCTGAAGGTCGCCGCATGGCCGAAGAAGTTGGCATCGACTGATATTCCCAGAGATGGAGAGACCTGCTTCTTTAGACCTCCTGACATGTTTGATTTGGTGGAGCTCGTATTCTGAGTGGGTGGCTTCATTGCAGAACTTCTGGACAGAAACATGACTCGTGTTATATTCGTTTTTATTAGAATGATAGATCGACTTTTCCATCATAAGGCAAAAACGCGCACGTGTTTAAACTTTTATCTTGACAACTTTTGGAAGAACGTTTTCAACAAAGAATTCTTTTCAACTCCATTTGTTCTTTGTGAACATTTCTATATTGTGTCATAAAATTCAATCCTTTATTTCTCCAAAATGCTGTTTTATGATCCTGTAAAAGTAAACACAGTCCCATAATGTTTACCTCACTTCTTGATAGTAAATGTCAGCTTGGTAACTCACCAAATTGAGATGGGGTTTGTGGTAAACACGGCTGTCATGCTGGTTTTCTTATTGATCGCTGCATCGCAGAATATTTACACTGCGTGATTTTGAGCCGTCTGTCATCCACATCAACGTTTGTGGATAAAAACATACCGAAATGTCTGATTGTCACTCAAAAGCTGTAGGAGGCGTTCGCTGAGCCGAACACACTGTGCCAAAATCTTACAGTTTGGTTGGCACTACCTAACAAAAACACAAAGCAAGCAATCAATATCATGGAACGTGTTACAAAACGCACGCATGAACGATCACAAGCAGGCAGAAGTGATCACTTCTGGATGTTTATTTATAAAGCAAATGAGCCAGTTATAATAAAGGTCTGACAGGGAGGAAAGGAGAACTGAGTGTTTTATATACTGAGGAAGATAATGATTAAAATCGTGCAGCAGAAAACGAGAAAACAAGGTGAGTTTTGTGGGAAAACAAGGAAGAATTTAACCAAGGGACACAGTGAAGGACGTAACAAGAAACAAAAACGGAACAAAAAAAAAACTAAATCCAAGACAGACTGAAAACATGAAGACAAAAGCTACAAAGAGCTCAGCTAAATCAGACCAAGAAACCAGATACTACAAAACAGAGTTCAATGTGTCAACGTTACATTTTATCTTAACAAAACGCAGAAGAGGCTCAAACTTTACTCATTTTGTGTCGACAGTTAGAGAATTTCATACAGAGGAGTTTAAGGCGAGACGTCACCAACATACAGTCGCACGTCGTCCACAACCAAACGGCCACGATGCTGGAGATCGGAACCAACCTGCTGTCACAGACAGCGGAGCAGACACGTAAACTCAACGTGGTAGAAGCCAAGGTAACAGTCTGCACTTTGATTATCTCACCCCCTAGAAGCACTTCCTCTGAGGTGACCAGTGTGTTGCTCTTTCAGGTACTGAACCACACGTCTCGGATAGAAATCCAACTTCTGGAGAACTCTCTGTCCACCAACAAACTGGAAAAGGAGCTCCTTCTGCAAACCACCGAGATCAGGCATCTGCGAGACAAGAACAGGTGAGACTTAAAACCACAACACTCACTAAATGGGATTACTGGTGCAGCATTGGAATGGTTCAGTTCTTATCTGAGTGACAGGAGTTTTTGTGTTAATGTTGGTAATGGTTTGTCTGCTTCAGTGCTTCTTTCCTGCGGGGTCCCGCAGGGCTCGATTCTTGGACCCCTTCTGTTTCTGTTTTCATTGTATCTGCTCATCTTGGGGTCTATCCTGAGGAATCATGGTCTTTCGTTTCACTGCTATGCTGATGATTGTCAGATTTATTTGCACTTAAAACTAGTTAATGTGCAATTCACCCTCTGTTAAAATGTCTTGATGGCATAAAGTTTTAAATGTGCTTTATAAATAAATTTGACTCGACTTTGATTACAAAACATTTAAACATTAATTCATGACTTCAAACTAATCAGTGGGTCATATGACTTGATTTAACTATAGTTTATTTCACAATGGATGTCTCCAGGTCGTACACACAGGTTTGAAAACACGAGCTACACAGTTTGTAGAGGGCCAAGAGGGGGTAGAGGCAGGGCAGCCGACTTGGACCTGAAAGTCCCAGGTTCAATCCCCAGCCATTCCCACATGTCGTGGCATCTTTGAGCAAGACACTTAATCCCTAATTGCTCCCCTGGCGCTTACATACTGTAGCTGCACACTGCTCCACCTGGGTGTATCCCAGGTGCGATGGGTTAAATGCAGAGAATTAATTTCACCATTGTATGGGAACCTACAATGATGACAACACATAGCACTTTATTTACTTGTAACGTATCAGTGAGGACATGTGAAACCTAAGTGAGAGCAGGCTGCAGCGAACACAAGCTCAGCTGTTGCTGAGAGATACACCAATATTTGGAGTCACAATGTTGTTATCATTTTTCATTTTGAGGTGAACTTGGATGCTGCAGCGAGTGCTGAAACATTCAGAGATCATCAAGTGCGCTGTCTGTTTACAGAAACATATCTAATGCAAACAGACAAGCTTCGACTCTACATGAGTGTGTGTGTGTGTGATTCAGAAACAGTAGTTTTACAGTGTGAGAGATTTTCTGTAGATAAACTGAGCCCTCTGTGCACCACGCTCATATCTTGAAGCACTGTGACCACAATGTGACCTTAAAACCCACCGATCACCTGGAGTTGGTTCACTTCACAACATTCGCTCCACAGATTAACAACATGTTTGTATCAAACGGCTAAATGACAGCAGCACCATTTTTAAGAGACTTGAAGAAAAATAAAGTAAAATGTATTTTATTTAGTTTGAACTTGATCCAGTTTGATGCTCTGAGCTGCATCTTCTGATCGTGGATTCAGACATGTGATGTTTGGCGCGCTGCCTCCAATCAAGGCAACGTCAGTTTAATGGTTCAAATCTGGCCTCAAGTGTTTCCCACTTTAGCAGCATAAACCAACAAACCCATCTATTTCCTGTTTCAAATGCTCGTTTCAGGGTTTCCTTCTTTCTTTGAGGACCTCATGACCACAGGTGAGAGTTGGAACATTGATCCAACAGTAAATCAAAACTTCACCAAGACAAACATAGTTTTGTTTTTTTAATTCTAAGGTAATTTCACAATTTTTTACTTATTGGACCACCTAGAAAGGCAGCGACCCATTATTATTATTATTGTTATTATTATTATTATTATTATTATTATTATTATTATTATTATTATTATTATTATCCACCTGAAAAGGATCATGCTCTTCTATCAACTTCAATGTGTCCCGAACTGCAGCGTGTACCCTCCACAAATGTTATGTCAAAATGACTCAGCGCCGTGTTGTGTGCTGTTACTTTTGTTGGTGTTTTGGGTTACCGCGGCGACGTAATTTGCAAACAAAGATACCATTTTTCATAGAAGAACACCGACAGAACTCTTAACCACCTCTAATTGCCACAGTGAGGTCACATGATCTAAAGTCGAGAGGTCCCTGAACAACACTGATCAACTTTTGGAGCCATTTTGGTTCAAGATGGCTGCCGCAGCTACCTCAGAAGACTCTGAATTGACTATAAATCAGTCATTCTTAGAAATATTGAACTGAAATTTGGTACGGTCGTAGCTTCAAACGAGTCGTTATACATTCTTAATGCAAATAAAAAAACCCAAGATGGCCTCCTTAGCTAAAAGGGAAGATATTGAGCTGAAATTTGTTGTGGTGGTAGCCCCCGTCAAAGTTTCTGCAGGAACGTTCTAGTTCTCACTTGTTCTGCTCTTTGTAAAGTAACTGTAATTTGGACAAGCCAAGGTTTGTGAAATAATTAGCTGGATCTTTAGTCTCTGCAGTGAACCTGCGGTACATTTCGCTTGCTAACATGCTAACTCTTCTAGCTTGTTGTAAATGTTTGTTTCAAAGCAGTGTTGAAAACGGAGATGGGTGTTGCTTTCTGTAAGCTGGAATGTGGTTATTTGTTGGATAAAATGTACAATCGACTGGGCATTACTGAAAAATAAATGGAGCATAAAAGAACAAGAAGAGGGAGAGCTATGCTCAGTGCTTCATCTTTAAAAACAAAACACAAAAATATAGGTTTTTCTTTGTATATTGTAAATCGTTCAAACCGTAGAAACAGTAAACTGTTTTCTGAGTCACAGTTAAATATCAGCCTAAAAATAATTTGGTCTCTAAGGTTTGACGCGATGTTTGCAACAGTCAGTGCAGACTTCTTAGAATAAAACTTCCATTGTAGCTCGAAAAAGGCCAAGAACATTTTCTAAATGGCATAAATTAGAAACATTTTCGGCTCGCATAGATTGTAATCGTAGTATAAACATCAAATTGTAATCGCACACTCATAGACGTTAAAGCGTAAAGTTACAAACACTTTAACACACGTCTTCACACACAAACCGCGGTGCCGCAGCCGTCAGTCGCTCACCATCCGTCTACATGTCAGTGGAAGTGGTTTCCTCGTTCATGTGCAGGTCAGCATGTTGAAGCGATCAGAACCAGGAGCTGATAAAGTGTTTCAGCCTCGTTAGTGAGACCAAGCTCTCACCTGCTCGTGTAAGATAATATCAGTCAAACGTACAAAAGAGCCACATTGTACAGAATGATGGAGGAGCCCGTCCAGCCCTGATCAGCCACACTTCAACCGGACTTCTGTTTGCTCAGTTTGATTTGAAAAATGTGGTAATTTCAACACGAGGATTTACTTCTTTGGACTGTATAGGCGAAGATTATTTAACTAGAATGGTAAACCTTTATTTCTACAGATTAGTCTCATTGAGCCTCGTGGACTCATTTTCAAGAGAGACCTGTTTTAATCAAAGAGCACAGATGAGGTACAGGCAACAGTAAATCATATAAAATGAAAAGTAAACAAAAGAAACGATATTAAAATCAAACAAAAAAAACAGCTACATTATGAAGCGACATCAAATACTAAAAGCAGGAACATGTCTGCATTGGTTTTTGCCATGAACTTAGCAAATGTTTGAAGCCACTTGGAGAAGTCAAGGTCAAGAGCTTCAGATCTTTTTTGCAAGATATTCCAGGAAACGGGAGCGGAGTAGGAGAAGGTCCGCAATGAGGGGACACTGCAGGTAATAATGTCCTGAGAGCGCACGCTGTAGCTACACTCACGCAGAGACATGTAGGAGGAGATGTATGAAGGCAGCAGACCAAGGTTAGGTTACTTTATTTATACCCAAGGGTAGATTTGGTTTGCAGTGGTACAAAGCATACGTCCATGCACACACACGCTGTACAAGCTAAGAACACCTCAAATAAACCATTCACAGATAATAGTGCTCAAGGCTCCACAGGTCAAAACAAAGTAGGACACAGAAGAGGAGAGTAAAAACTTTAAAAATCAACTAGTATAAAAAATATATTAAAATATCATTTTCATCATTGGATAAAAATCTGTTAAACCACTGAGAACATCGATGTCCGTTCAGTTTGTTCATTGCAGTAACAGCAGTAGGAACAAAGCTGTTTTTTAAAGTATCTTGTCGTACATTTAGAGGCTAAATAAAAACCTCCGACCGGAGGGAAGAAGCTGAAACTCCCTGTGAAGGGGGTGAAAACTTCTTTTAAAACAGAAGAAGCTATCTGCTGTACCTGGCTAATGTACAGAGATGTAACTGATTTTTGGATTCAAGAAGTGATTTAAAGATGAAAATGTACCAGTGGGAGAGTGTGCATCTAGTAAATGATGCCCAGTTAACCAGTGACTACAGGGTGCAGTGATGGGTACGCTATACCAGTTACGAATAGGCAGTGTCCAACATCTGCAGGGTTGTAGGAGCGTTCATGTAAATAATGGAGTAATTATTGGAAGGAAAGTCGCAGTTCCAAGGTGTTTCCTAGCATTCAGAGTTAAACAGGATCCATTTCTGAAAAAGAAACCCAGTTTAACTTTAAGTTTCTTCATTAAGTTTTCGACATGAGGATTAAAAGAGAGATGTGAATCGACCAAGACGCCCAAGTATTTTTAAGAATCGACAAACTCAATAGGAACACCATTCAAAGATAAAATAGAAGGAAGGACTTCCTGTTTGAAAGCAACATCCCTTTGGTTTTATCAGCATTTTGCTCAAGTTTGAGACGGAATGAATCCAATATGATGCCTAAACCCAAATAAATATACTTTTATATTTGGGGAAAAAAGTAAAAATTGCGTTGTTAATTTTATTTGAAAACTGTTAGTATTGTTCTGAACAATTATTTGTTTTACCAAAGTTAACACTTTCATCTAAACCAGTCTGCCTGTGCTGCTCTCATGAAATTTGGTTTAGATATTCAGTTTTCTTATTGATATTGATGACGTGTTAATTTATTACAATTTATTTACCGGACGTTTGTTTTTGGTTTCCCTTTATGCTTGAATTATTCTATGATTAGATTCAGGCAAAACAATTTTCTTGTTATGTTTAGATATTAAACTACTTGTTTGTTTGTTTGTTTTTTTGAAGAAAAGTCACTGATGTTTCACACAAAATGTCTGTCGGACTGTGAGCGCTTTATAAGTGAGGAATACTTTACA